TCTGCATGCTGAACAGATAGTTTGAGGCATTAGGATATACAGAGAGAAACATGGTTTAATAATTGAAGAAATACATTTTAACATCATAGAATATGCAGAAGAATCCCTGCTAGCTTAGTAGATAACCTATTGGGCTGTTATCCAAAGCCTTGTGATTCAAATCCACCAGGTGCTCTGCCAGAGAACATTGGGCACATGATCCTATAAATATTTACAAACTCAGAAACTCTATGTAGGATCACTAAGAGTTGGACTCAGAGACAATAGTGTTGTATTTTATGGTGGTTTTTTACTTAATACTTTTGTTTGACATTAACAAGACTTCAGTGGAGGGCCTTTGTATTTAAAAGTTGGTTGTTAATATATTTTGGAGGAACATTTTTCTAAGCGGTGAAGCACTCTTCTGTCAATTTGCTGTGATGCTGAACCTTGTGCTATTGGGGTGTCAAATGCCATAATGGTTACCCATGGTGGGCAGTTTTTCGTGTAGCTCCCAGTTGAGGACAGATTTTGAAGTTAGAGTGGCATCCACTGCCTAAACAACATGCCTCTGGAAACTCTATGAACTTTGAGAAACGATGATAGTTATAGAAAGGCTTCAGATCTTCTGTTCAAAGGGTCGCTATGAGTTGTGACAGTAATCAACAACGACAACAACAATATGCAGATGGCACAACCTTGCTTGCTTAAAGTGTTGATGACTTAAAACACTTTTTATGAAGATCACAGCCTATATAGCTTTTAGTATGGATTACAGCTTAACAAGAAAAAAGAAAAAGTTCTGGGAACTAGGTCATAAGCAACATCTTGAAAAATGGGGAAATGCCTGAAAATATAAAGGATTTTATTTCAAATAGATCTGCATTCAATGCCTATGCAAATAGCAGTCAAGAAATTAAGTGATGTTGAAAACATTTTTGAAGAACAACAAATTGAAAGAGTAAGGTAAAAAAAACCCAACAAACATACGTTGAGCCAAAAGAAAAAGAAAAAAAAAGAAATAAAACTATTTCTTCTTTTGGAAAATATACTGGGGGAGAACCCTCTTTAAATAATTAAAAATCAAAAGATGTTTAAAATATTTCTGACCTAAATCATGATATTTTTGTTTCCTCGTATGAATGTGACAACTAAACTGCATAAAGAAGGCCAAAGAAATATTGATGTCTTTGAATTACTGTGTTGGAAAAGAATAATGAAGAGTCAATAAATTTGTCTTGGAACAAGTGCAGCCAGAATATTTCTTATAGATAAGGTTGGGGACACTCATTCATTTAATTTGTCATGTTTCAGAAAGGATCAATCCCTGGAGAAGAACTTCATGCTTGATAAAGTAGTTTGGTATTGTCAAGTTAGTATGACTCTTAGTGACCCTATGAACCCTGTCCTATCCTGTATCATCTTCATTTCTCTGACACACTTAAGCCCATTGTAGCAGTCTCTGTATCAATCTATTTCATTGAGAGTCTTTTTGTCTTCAATGGTCTTCACTATATTTCTAAGTATGATTTCCCTTTCCAAATAATAGCCTTTTCTAGTAAAGTATACAGAATATATAAAATAACTTATCCTTATCTACAAGGAACCTTATGAGTACACTTTCTCTGAGACATACCTGTTTGATTTTTTTTAATAGTCCATGTAATATTCAATGTTCTTCTCTAACACCACAACTCAAAAACACCAATTCTTTTTCTGTCATTCTTATTCATTGTCCAGCTCACAGATGCATAACAAGTGACTGAAAATACACACCTTAGTTATAAACTGATGTCATTGCTTCTAAGTAATTTGGAGACACCCCTTATAGTGAACTTGCCCAGGGCAATACGTCTTTGATCTTGTGATAGCTGATACAAACGGTGATTGTGGATCCAAGTAAGATTAAATAATTATAAACAATTTCTATCTTTTCTTGCTATATCATCATGTTGCTTATTTGTCCAGTGGTGAGAATTTTTGTCTTCTTGATGTTGAGAAGTAGAGGGTAAGTGGAAATCTCAACAAGAGAGATTGATGAATTGTTTCATTTAACAATGAACTCAGAAGGTCTGTAGTGTCATGGTGAAACATGAGACTGCTAACTGTAAGATCAAAAGTTTAAATTTACCAGCTACTCCATAGAGGAAAGTTGGACAGTCTGTTCCCCTAGAGATTTAAAGCATCAGAAACCCAAATGGAGGATCATTTAGAATCAGAGACAGATGTATAGCAGGAGTTTTAGAGTGAAGATTACAGAGGAACAGGCAGCATTTTATTCTGTTATAAATAGGGTCACTATTAAAACCATTCTGGTGATACCTTACAAAAACAATATGCACTCATTCCCTACTTATTGACATGGCTGGACTCCAAAGACGAGGCTATTAGGTGAAAATTTCTTTTATTGAAAATAATGAGGATTGTAATAGATTAGGGGTTACATTGGGAAGAATAGAAATTACAGAACACTTAATTGTGTTCATGCAAAACCTATACCTACATAGGCCAACCAGCAATTGTGAAAACAATAAGGGAATATTGAATGGTTTAAAATCAAGAAAAAATATTTGTCAATGTATCTATACTTTTATCCATACCTATTCACACTATATGCTGAACAAATAATTCAAGTAGTTGGCCTACATGAAGAAGAATATGGCCTCAGGACTGGAAGAAGAATCATCAACATACTGCCTTGTGAATGTAACAGCCATTCTTGTAGAAAGTAAGGAAGATTTGAAGCACTTACTGCAGATGATCAAAGATTAAAGACTTCAATATGGATTATACTTCAACGTCAAGAAAATAAAAAATATGTAAAATTATGGTGTTGGAGAAAAATATTGTATATCCAGTGTTGTTGTTGTTTGGTGCCATCAAATTGAGTACAACTCATAGTGACTCTATGAATAGCAGATCTGAACCCCATTCCATACTGTGCCATCCTCACGCTTCCTGACACGGGAACCCACTGCAGCAGTTACTGTGTCAACAGCCTGGTTGAGGGTCTTGAAAGTTCAACCAGAATAGTTCTTAGAGGTAAGGATGATAAAACTTAGTCTCATATGCTTTGGGCATTTTTTCAGAAGGGGCTTTTTCTTAGGAAAAGACATCAAGCTGGGAAAGGTTGAAGGTCAGAGGAAGACCTTCCACACAACTGTTAGTCACAGTGACAGTAACAGTGAACTCGAACATATCAGAAATTGTGAAGATGGTGCTTGAGAGTGTAAGCTTCAGATATGTTGTTCATAGCATCTCTCTAAGTAGTAACTGATGGCACCCAACAATAGCAACATCAGAAATTACATCATTACATAATTGTCAAATTATTACGTCATTACAAACTGATATCATTACATATTTTCCAAGCTTCATCATTACATAACTGCCAAATTCCACCATCACATAACTGCTAACTACTGTTGCCAAGTTGATACATAACTTTAACAAAGACAGACAGTATGACTCTCATCTAGAAACTTAGTGTGCATCACTGCCAGATATATGTCATTACTGCATAAAGTAGTTGACTGGTTATTTTTACTGAGCCCATAAGTGCAAAATATTTGGTAAAAAATAAGTATTAAGTGATGGCTAGGTCCATATATCGAAGTACAGAAACTGTAATTTTATCTTTGAATTTTTTATTTGGGGGGGAGCATTGATTAGCTTAGTGGTAAGAAGCTGGGCTGCAATCCCAAAGGCACCCAATTCAAATCCACCATCTATCTGCTCCAAGGAAAAAGGATGAGCAGTCTCCTCCTTTGCACTTAACTGCCCCTGAAAACCCACTTGGAGGATCAGCTCTGAGTTGGCTCCAACTGGATGATACACAACAACAACAACAGCTACTGAATGGAATCTCTTGAGGAGTTGTACACTTAAATTTTTGGGATACAGTGGAAAGTTGCTATCATATAATAGGAATGTTGGTGTGTGCTGTTGAGTTAAAACTGATTCATAGCAGACCCTCCAGTGGTTTTCAGAGGCTATAGATCACATGGGAGAAGGTTGTCTATTTTTCTCCCATGCAGATGCTGGTGGGACTTGAACTGCCTTTCTATACGTTGACAGTATGATTTCCCTTACCACAAAGACTATTAGAATTTCCTTTATAACATGATACAGGGCTATATAATGAGAATAATGGCATAACTTGGTTCCACCACTGTACTAGATTCAGTTAGATGATGGAATTATAAAATCATCTAAGATGGATGGATGGGTGGATGGATGAATGGATAGGATGGAAGAAGTATGGATGGGTGGAATTTATTGATATTCTGAAGTACCTCCCATATATTGAAAATTAAAATCATAATCTTACTCTATCAGGGAGAAAATACATGCTTATATGTACTGTGTCCTACAGTTACTAAACCAAATACAAATCGGGGAATATGCATTTTCTTACATTGCAATAGATTTTGGTCCTGATAGATCATCTGCAAATTATGTAATTATCACTGACAACTTTAAAATATTGTTAATATATAATAAAGATGGTTTAAATTAAAAAATCTCACTTTGAATCAAAATAATTTTCCCACTAGAAATATAAAATAAATTAAAATAGCATATTTATCTTCATACTTTCTTTTAGAATCTCCCTCCATTGGTTTATTACTGTTGAATAAAGGTGGCACCAAATACTTGTTTTATTTTTACTTCTGTTGTATACTAATTAATACATTGCAGAGAGAACCTTACCCTCTAAACATCTCTCACCATTCTGGCATTTGGTTGAAGAATGCAAAGGTGCTACTACTTAAGATTAAAACATATTATTACATTTAGAATTTATATTTATGTATAAATATGTTTATTCATATTACAATAAATATATAAATCAAAATTTCTTGAATTATGTAATTATCTTGGTTTTTCTAATACATACACTGGGTGGTGTGGTATGAATAACTCAAGAATTACCCATTTCAGTAACTTAAGGATTTTTTTAACATTTTGTAACAAAACCAGCTCATCTAGTTATTATTGTTCAATATTAAATTTTATAGGTTTTGGAGAAGCTTCAGCTTTATTCGGTTATGCTTTCGGCACTATATTAGGAACACCACAAATTCAGACTTTTATGATAAATAATACTGCTATTAAAAAGTAAGCCATTTTTCTTTCTTCCTTCCTTTTATTTTTGTTTGCATTGATAATATGTAGACATTAATATGTATAAATTTTTTCTTATATCTATAATAAATTATAAATATAAAAATATTTTAAATGTCATACTTTAAGTATGTATGGGTAAGTAGTGTCATTAGTGATTCCTCCTTGACTTTTCTAGTCCCGTATTGAAATGAAGGATTATTGTAAATGAAGGAAATGTAATTTACTGCCAATGGAAAGTGGAGAGACCTGTTTATAGTTCTGAAACTGGGTTCCTACAAAAGTGGAGTTTGTGGAAAAAGTATACACTTTTTCTTATAACTAATAAAACTGGGATAAATGAAGCTAACAAAAACTGAGATTAAAAAAGCCAGCTCTAAAAAAAAAAAGCCAGCTCTATTCATAGGCATCAAGTTGAAAATTACTTGCAGCAGACGCTCTATTGGATGTTCAAGACTACAAATCTCACAGAAGATTTCCAGTCTTTCTCACTCAGTGCCACTATGAATTTAGAATACCTGAGAGGCATGACATTTGGAAGATCAGAAGAACTGTCTACAGACTGGAAACACCAGAGTTTTGTAGAGGCCAATAGTTGTTATTATATGACATCAAGTTGAGTTAATTAAAACTTGAGATTATAAATTTTTTAAATTAGATTACTCTGATTAGAATTGTTGCTGTTAGGTGCTCTTGAGTCAAATATGACTCTTAGTGACCCTGTGAACAAAAGATCTGAACTCTATTCTATCCTGTGCCATCCTCACACTTCCTAACACACAGGAGCCTACTGCAGCAGTCACCATGTCAGTCCACCTGCTTGAGGGTCTTCCTCTTCTTCACAGACCCTCCATCCTTCCCACCATCATTTCCTTCTCCAAAGAATAGCACCTCTTAGCAACATGCCCAAAGTATGTGAGGAAAAGTTTCATCATTCTTGACTCCAAAGAGCACTTTGTCTGCACTCTATCCAAGATGTATCTGTTTGTTCTTTTGGCTGTACATGAGATGTTTAGTACTCTTCTCCAAAATAACAGGTCAAATGTGTCAATTCTTTTTCCTGTCATCCTTATTCTTTGAGTAGCTCTCAGATGCATAGCAAGTCATCAGAAAGATTATGTTCTGAATCAGACTCACCATAGTCTTCAACTTCCCTGATTTATTACTTTTAAGTATATTTTCTTGCAAAAATGTAGTATGTTGCTTAAAATTAACTTTGCATTTTTATATGATCTTTCTTATTGAAAATATGCCAGTAAACTTAATTTTAGATAATTCATACATTTTCTTAGTATTGTGAATGCCATATGCATATTATTATATTTTCTGGTCATTTATTTTTAGGTAGGAAATTATTACTAAGAAGGAAAATATATTGAACACTAAATTTGTTTGACATATCTATATCCCTCAAATCTAAAACTAAACTTAATAGTTTATTTGATTTTGTTGGATCTTCTAAATAGACAATTATCTACACATATATAATCATCTTACATAATATAATCACCACTCACCTGCAAATTTGCCATACTGTATTGCCTGTTGCCATGATATTGGACACTAAACCTCTGAAATTTCAAATACTAACAAGATTATTGATAGTAAACAGGTTGCAATAGAGCTTCTATACTATGAAAGACTAATTACAAACAATAGGACTGGTCATCCACATCAGAAATAATGGGCCTTTGAAAATCATGTTCATAACAAAACAACATTGCTAGGTATAGTTCCGGAAGATGAAACCCTGAGGTTGGGAGGCATTCAAAAGGTGACTAGGGAAGAACTGCTTCCTCTCACTCAACCTTGATGATGTAATGAAGTCAACAGTGGGCTTGAGGAGGCAGGGATCATGAATGTGGCAGAGGATAGGGCAAGGTTCCGATCTGTACTTTATAGGATCAGAGTAAGTCATTAGGGAGCTCTGGTGTACTAATGATAAGAAGCTGTGCTTCAAGGCATGTGGGTCAGATCTATCAATCACTCTGTGGGAGGATGAATAGTCACCTCCCATATAACTAACTGCCTCTGAAAACCCCCTAGAGGGTCCGCTATCAGTTGGTCTGACTTGGTGACATACATCAAGAATAGTAACAATCCACTCTGAATTTTAATTTCATCGGGTTTTAGCTGCTGTGTTTGACCTTTGTTTTAAAAATAATTTTCTGCTTTCCTACGCAACAATACACAAAACTTGAATCAGTGTAGACTCAAGGGCACCTAACTAAATAGAATCTAAACATTTAGAATACATGTTGTTGCTATTAAGTGCCGTCGAGTCGAGTACTACTTATAGCGACTATGAACAAAAGATCTGAACCCTGTTCTATAGTTATCGTTGCTTCTCTACTGTTCATAGAGTTTCCAAAATCTCACTGTTTAAGAAGTGGATGCCAATCTTTACTTCCAAGTCCGTCTCAATCTGGGAGTTCTTATAAATTAATAAATCAGGTAAGTTGAAGACTATGGTGAGTCTGATTCAGACCATAATCTTTCTGATGACTTGCTATGCATCTGAGAGCTAGTCAAAGAATAAGGATGACAGGAAAAAGAATTGACACATTTGACCTGTGATTTTGGAGAAGAGTACTAAACATCTCATGTACAGCCAAAATAAAGCCAAAATGGTTACTATGGGTAACCATTATAACATTTGATACACCATTGGTATAGTCTTCAGTATCACAGCAACCCAAGTTATCTCACTACAGCAAACTGACAGGCAAGTGCTATACCACTTCGGACAGTGTTCTTCCCAGACACTATTAACAGGCCCAGGGCCACATGCCCTCAAGGCCAGCCACCTTTTAAATGCAAAGGCGTGCCCACCAGGTCCTGATTAATTTAAACAGCTGATTGTTAAATAAATCCTGGCAACTAGTCAGCTTACACATGATTGTGAAAGAATAAAAATAATAATAAAAAAAGACTAAGCACTTTTCACCCAACTTTAAACAAAATCAAGAGAAACTATCCTCCAGAATCCAACTGCTTCATGCATGAGCCTCCAAACTGGAGACTTAGTCAGGGCCAGCCAACTTTTAAAATGCATAGCTGGGTTCAAAAGTTTAAAAAGGGAAAATTTCTTAATGCTATTATCAAATGAAAATATATACTCATAATAATAATCTAGAATTGAAACTCCCAAGTCATTGTTTATTGAGATATGTATGTTTTTTATGTTAGAATCCCTCAAGTCAGCTACAGTTCTTAGTGATACTATGCACAACAAAAGAAACACTGCTCAGCCCTGTGTCATTCTCACTCTGTCTGCTTTTGCAGCCTGTATATCCACCCACCCCCTGAAAAGTCTTCCTCTTTTTCAATGACTCTCTGCTTTTTCAAGAATGATTTCTTTCTTTAGGTACTAACCTCTCCTGATAAGATGCCCAAAGGATGTAACACAAACTCTCATGTCCTTGCTCTTGAGTATTTTAAGTAGATCCTTGACAGCATATTCGCCCAATGTTTGATTATATATGCCTACTGGATAATGTGAATCAGAAATGAAACCCCGTGCCATTCTTTATTCATGTTTTTACTGAAAAAAAAAAGTATAAAACAAAACCCTAGTTTTTTTCCCATTGAACTGAAACTGACTTGTAGCTGACCCTTGAGTGGGTTTTAAGAGTCTGAAAATTTAATAAGAGGAGATTGCTCATCTTTTTCCCATGGGGCAGCTGGTAGATTGATGTATTCTTAGTGCCTGTCTCAGGGCTGGCAGTGCAACTCCCTTCTAAATAGGCCACCAGATCTCCCTAATTTATATTTGTGTTCTTAAATAATCCTGGTAATACATAAGCTATTCAACCAAGCAATTCAGAACCTCCTCAGTTTCATCAAGCAAGGTTGTGTCATCTGTATAATGCAGATTGTTGATGAATCTTCTCCAATCTTGTTGCCACATTTCTCCTCATAGAGCACTGCCTCCTGAATGTTATATTCTTCTTATATATTGAAATGGTATGGAGATAAGGACACATCTCTAGCATACACCCTTTCCAAATTTGAACCATGCAGTGTTTCCTTGCTCTGCTGACTGTCTCCTGGTCCATGTATAGGTTTCTCATAAGCACAATCATATGCTTAGTAGCTATAATATCCTTAGTACCATGGCCTTTTCTAAAACTTGCTTGTGATTATGGTGGTTTTATGTCAGTGTGCTGTGTGGTCTTCAGAATTTTGCTGTTAACCTCTATATAACTATGAAAATGTACGACACAGTCATACTTTTAATAATATTCTAAGACAGTACTGAACATGCAAAATATTTGTGAGTGCAAAGAGAAGAATGAAGAGATCTTTCATAGGAGCCATCACATCCTTAGCCCTACCTGTCCTAATGCAAGACTTTTTGATGAGAAAATGCAAACTAAGTGAAACTGTGGAGAAGACAGGTGACAGAGGCTAACAGAGGGTATTAAGGAGAATTAAGGCTGATAACCAGAAGGATAAATACATGAATTCATCTGAAACTTCAGTGAAATTACTGCAAAAGACTGTCAGCCTTTATTTTATTTAAGAGGTCACAGAATATTGAGTATTCCATGGACTGTTAAAAGAAAAATAAATCTGTCTTAGAAAACGTGCAACCAGAAGTCTTACACATTTATTGTATGTTGTTAAGAGATTCTAGCCCCTGAAGGATATAATGTTTGAAAAAGTGAGAAAGCAAAGGATTCACAAGAGGATGGATAATTTGATACAGTGAATACAATGATGAACTAAGTATAGCGGAGATTGGGTGGATGGTACAAGGTAAGGTAGGATTTTATCCTGTTGAACATGGAGTTGCTATGAATCAGATCCCAATCAACAGCATCTAACAGCAATGCTATATAAAAGATGGTATATATAATTTGAAGGACCAAATGTGATATGAAGTGCTAGATGCATAATTTTAAAAGAATAAGATGATTTTAAAAGAAAGAAGTTTAAAAGGATAGTATTTATTCTAATAGGTCCTCCTTTATATTTAAGTATCTATAACTTTAATATTGGGAGTTTCAGGGTTCATTTATAATTTTATATATAACCTCACCTCTTCCCTTCTATCACACACACACACACACACACA